ATACTGAGTCAGAACAAGAAGGAAGTTGAGAAAGAATCCAGCAAGCCTGACACTGTCACGTGCCGGTGAGGGAACCGAGGCCTGGGAGGAGGAGATGACTTGCTCAGGATCACATGGAGGCCAGGGCAGAACCAAGGCAGTCACTTGGGTCCCATGACTCTCTGTCCAGTGCACTTTATTTGGAACTAGAGTGCCTCACAAAACCCACTGGAGGTGAACCTCCTCATCCCATCAGCCCTTGGGGACAGAGGAGACTCAAGCCAGAGGGCTGCCTGGAGAGCTGAGGACAGAGAGAATGGTTTCCTTTTTATTTTAATGAGGAGTGAGATGGAAACAGCCATTGTCTGATAGCTGATAGGTGGCATAAAAATTCCAGAAGACAGAGCCCGGAGTCAGATGTCAACTATGACTGTTCTCTACCCCTGGACAGGACCCCCCAGACAACAACAGTACTTACACGCCTGCACACACACACACACACACAGCACCACAGTGACCGGGAGGAGTTTCTGCAGACCTGGGCACAGGCCAAGCCAGCTGAGTCTTCAGTGCCAGGCATCTGTGATTTCCTCAGGAACACCAGGCTGCCAGAGCACCTGTACAAACATGCAGGAGGAGGCGGAGCCGGTCAAAACCAGCCGCACTCACAAGCAGGGCTTCTGCTAGAGGGATCCTGGTGGCTAGAGCTGAGCCTCTTTGCTGAAGTCCACCACTGGCTGGGCATCCCTCTGGGGCACAGCAGGTCGTGTGTGGAGCAACCCGGCAGCTGAGAGATGCTGCACTTTCCCAGTGGGCTTGTGGAGATGGGGACAAGAGAAAGGCAGACCACCACTGCCTGTCTGCTGGAGCTTCTAATTCAGACCTTGAAGTTTGAGCTGTTCTCATTTTACAGTTTAGAAAAGTTAAGTTGGCCAAGGCTACTCAGTGAAAAAGTAGGAAAGGAGGGATTTGAACACTGGTCTATCAGGCTCCAAGACGGGTGGGTGTTCTTTTTTCCTGCACCATACCACCTTCCAGGGAATTTCTTTATTTGGAATACACAACTATATCCTTTCTGAGGAGGGCAGACCTCCTTCCAAGCCCTCAGTATCACACCCTTCATCTTGGGATCTCTGTTCTGTGGAAATTCACTCAAGGCTGATGGTCAGACATCCCTGCTGGAATGTGGCAGCAGCCTGGAGAAATGTGAGAGGAAAAGCCACGGCACACGAGAACAGAGGCTGGCCTCTTAGCTCTCGGGCCATGCACATGGCTCAGGATGACAATGTGAGCATGTGTGTTTGTGTGTTCAGTCATCTGTAAGTGTGTGTCAGCGTGTGGTGAGTTGTGACCTCATGTGAGGGATCATAAATGTATATGTGTGGGAATAAGAACATGAGTGTGCATGCACGTGTGAGTGTGCAAGAGTGAGCATGCACAGGGCTGATATTCAGCAGGTACACACCGGTATGACAGGTGTTGCTGAATCCATGGTTAAAATATTGAAACTACTTCTGTAACGGGTGGCAAATAGCCACTGCACCAACTCCCTTGCCCACCAGTGCCCCTGCCACCACCCTGGCTAGCCAGCTCAGCCCTCTATACCGCCAAGAAACTGGAGGCCGATGCCTGTCACAGCAGTGGCCTCTTGAATGCTGCTCCAGCTTCTGCTCTCAATGCTCAATGTCAGTCTACAAAGTTGTAGAATTTTCTTTGAGTAACAGCCTTGTGTGTGTTATTGACGTGATATTGAGAACTTGCACGAATGTGTACCCTGTGCAAATAAGTGTCAGTGTGTGACTGTGTGTGACCATGCTGGCTTTACCTTCCCAATGGATTGGTGGATTGTAAATTCTGGAAAGACAGGATGCAGGCTTCCTGCTTCTTCCAGTCACTAACATGGTCAGAGGACCTGCCATGTTGCAAAGAATACAGACCAGAGAGCCAGAGGGTACTGAGCTTGAATCTCAGCTCTACCACCTACAAGCTGTTATTACTGCGAGCAAGTAAGGAACTTCTCTGAGCTGCTGTTCCCCCACCTCTAATGGGAACAGCAAGACCTGGTTCACTAGAGTGGTGTCAATGTGTGTCTGTGCTTGGCACCCCATGTTGGTCAGGTCCCTGCCCCTGTCCCTGCTTCCTCAGCTTCTCAGCCTCAGTTCTTGCCCTCAGGGAGCGTGGCCTGTCCCAAAAGACGTGCTGACTGTAACCTGACAGGTGGAAATCACGCGGGCCAGAGCTGCCCAGGACTGCCTCGAGAGCAGGATCCATCATGGGCAGGTGTTCAAAAAGGGAAGATTTCAGAAGAAACGGCAACCACCAAATGGGGTAATTATGCCTTAGACTAAATCTTGTTTCCCCCTATGAACACCACTCAGACCTTTGCTCTACTTAATTGGTCCTTGCCCTTAACCCCAAAATGTGCCATGTCCCTCACACGTTTGTATCGCTAAAGGTCTGGATCCCATGTCCTCAAGTGGTGGAAAGAAGCAGAGGGTGCTACTGTGCTCTGAATTTGGAGAATGATAATAAAAGCAATAGCTAACATTTATCCATCAGTTATTATGGGTTTGGTTATGATTATTATTTACTTACATTGACTCATTGAACCCCTCCCCTTCAACCCCAAGAGGCAGATATAATTCTCCTCTCTACAGATAAGTGAGACCCAGAGAGGTTACGTAATTTGCTTCAGATAACACAGTGAAAGAGGCGTGGTTCTGGGGCCCAAACCCAGTATGATGGTGATAAAAGAAAAACCAGCATGATGATCACACGCTAGCACATGTGCACACGTGCTAGTTATGATCGTTAGTAGAGGAGAAAATTAAATGAAGCCCAGAGAGGCAAAATTAAGCCTTATGCTAAGCTGCTGAGTGAGGGAGGGTAAGGAACGAGGGAGTAGAACCCAATCGAGAGAGATCCCAGGGAAGGTGGTGTGTGGGGGGTGAGGGAGGAGACATTTGGAGGCTTCGCTGAATGAGACATCTGAGTGTGGGGAAATGTTTAAACTTCTCATCGCTTTCCGGGAGTTCAGTTAAGGTTTACATAACTTTCAATGCTTTTTGTATGTCATACTTGAGTTTCTGTTGAATGCAACACTCTGGAGGAAATGTTTCCCAGATGTGGGTCACAAGACTAAAGACATGTTCCAGTTTTCTGTGGGGCTTGGCTGGTGTGGGTGGCTGCAGAGGCCACACTCTGACCACCATGGACTGGGGCTTAGACACGGGAGAGCTGGCCTTCTTGGGTATGCCTGACATTCACAGCTGTGGCTCATGCTGTGCCCAGTTCTGGAATGCGCTCTTCCCTGCCCAACCAAATCCCCCCATCCCACCACTGGAAATCCCAGCTGCTCCAGGCATTCCACACTGAACAGCTGTTTCCTGATAGCCCTGCGGCAGGTGCTGCAGTGACAGAGATGGCCAAGTTCTCCTTCCTCCCTCCACAGCCCTCACTGTTCTCTCTGTTTCCTCTGAATTCCAAGGCCGTGAATGACGCATCCATACCACCCAAGACATCTTAATTAGATGCCACCTTGCCTAGGTGTTCTTTGTTATCTCAAGGGTCTTAGCTTGATCTTCTTATGGGGATTGTTAAACCAAGAGACCCAGAGCCCTGTGCTGTGCTTCTGTGTTTTCACAGCACCCATCACATTCTGAGCAAATGGGAAGGAAGTTGCTCACTAAGGGGGCACTGGTGGATTGACGGTGGATGGATGGATTGTGATGGATAAATGGATAGATGGATGGAGCATAGTGACAAGGCATGGAAGGAGTTCTAATAGAGGAGGAGGAGCCCAGGCATCCCAGGAAGCAGTGCTAAAAGCTTCATTATTCAGCTAACTCTGTATTCTCCAGGGTCTTCAGTATATGTTAGGGATAATCCAGCCTTCTAGTTTATGTTATTTTCCTCTCTGGCTCCTTTTTGGTACTTCTGCTGGTTCTTCGTGATTCCCCTGGAGCCCAGAGGCATGGGAGAGGAGGCAGGTATAGGAGAGGAGGTTCAAATTTATGGACTACTTTGTAAGAGAGGTATTTCATAGAGAGGAATGAAAGTTGGTAGTGGAAGCAATAGAAACCAGCAGTTTGGATTACCTGTGGGTTTGAATTATCTGGTTACCTCAATCCCCCAAGAATTTAGAGAGTTGAAAGTAGGAGGGCAGTGGGGGGAAAAATAGCCCAGGAAAATCTTCAACTGGAGAAATAATGGGAGCTGTGATTTTGATCAAATATTGATGATGGATATGTGTTGGGCATATGATGTTTGCATAGACTGTCTCTTAATTACACATTTAGTTAGCTTGAAGAAACTTTGGTCTTTTCTTTTACTTATGGGAGAATTTTTTTTTCTTTTGAGAAAGATTAGCCTTGAGCTACCATCTACTGCCAATCCTCCTCTTTTTGCTGAGGAAGATTGGCCCTGAGCTAACATCTGTACCCATCTTCCTCTATTTTGTGTGGGACGCCTGCCACAGGATGGCTTGATAAGCGATACGTAGGTCTGCACCTGGGATCTGAACTGGCGAACACTGGGCCACCAGAGTGGAGTGTGTGAATTTAATTGCTACGCCACCAGGCCAGCACCTAGGAGAATTTTTAAGACAATCCTCAACTCCTTTTGACCCATAAGCTCTTGGAGGGTGTTCTTTGAGTTATAGTTTATTTGCCTCAACCCTTCTCCTCTACTGTGTAGCTCTTGGCTGGAGATTTCCCTTACTTTTTCTATGAGGATGACTTTTCTTTGCACACGTTCTCTGGATGGGCATCTTTTCCCTCTGGTTCTTTGTGGTGTTCTCATTTTCTGTATCTCCATGCTACAGAAGTGCCCACCTCTCCTCCTTACCCTGGCAGGACCACTGTAGATGTCCCCCAGCTCAGAAGTGCATTCACACCATGCCTCCTCCTCTACCTGCACCCACATGCCCAGCTCTCCTAGGGCTCTGGGTAGGGGAGCAGATTGCAAAATCCACAGGAATATAAAATTGTTAAACAACAAAATAAGTCAGACTGAGACATTAGTGCCAGAGGAATTATGTTTAATTGTTTGGAAAACAAGAGCAGAAATGAAGGGTGATAGGAAGGAGGAGTGTGTAGGCACGCTGTCCAAGTTTCCAACAAGCCAACAAGGAGATGTCGATGCATTTCAGCAAAGATGATTAGATGGTTTAGAATCAGATCCTTGCCTGGGATGGAAATTGCAGCTGCTAATTAATAAGAGGCAGAGATGGACGGAGCCGCCATCTTGGTGCTGTCATTTCCTAAGTGTGGCGGCCTCCAGAAGCAGGGAGTGAGTGGACTGAGAGTCGGCTGTCCGAGGGAGAGGAAGTGGACTTCATGCGCTCTGTGGTCCCTGGGGGCTTAGCCTCTGGTCACATGCCCGGGGGCTTACTTCTGCTTGGACTTCTGGCACTGCTGAGGCGGTGGGCATTTCTGCTGGCACTTGGGTGGAGGCTGGCAAGGCTGCTTGGTCTGCTGAGGTGGGGGGCAATACTGTTGGGGTGGGGGGCAGGACTGTTGGGGTGGGGGGCAGCACTGCTGAGGTGGAGGGCAGGGCTGCTTCGGGGGAGCACACTGCTTCTGCTTCTGCTGAGACATTCTGGGCTGGATGTGCAACTGGAAGAAGAAAGCACAGAAGTGAGGAACACAAGCCATAGAGAGACTCTGGGCCCTGCTGAACCTCCTGCCATATTCATATCCTGCTATTGTTTTACCTGGCCCTGATCGCTTCACCAATTTAAGGAGTGTGTGTGTGTGAATGTGTGCATGTGTGTGTGTGAGTATAAACTGTAGCTAAATGTTTGTAAATCATTTCAACTCTTTTTGAGACAAAGAAACACGGAAGGAAGGAAGAAGGGAGAAGGAACAAAAGGAAGGCGGGGGGAGAAAAGAAAGAGGAATATGAAATGAGAGAGAGTAAGAAGGAAAGACAGGGAAAAAGAACAAAAAGCAATATACTGTAATGGCAAAAGCTATGGAATCTGGAACAGGATTGCAAGGGATCTGAGTCCTGGCTAAACCAGCAACCAGCTGTGTGACTTTGAGCAAGTTACTTAACTTTTGTATACCTGTTTCCCTAAAGGTTGTTGTAAGGACTATATGAGTATATAAAAATGCATACATACAAACATGCATACATCTATGCATAAATGTGTGTGTGCGCACACACACACACACACAGAGTACCTAGCATGTGATGAGCACTGTGTAAGGGCTTTGATTTATTAAATAAGTTTCTAAAAATTTAAAAAGGACGGTAAGGAACATCTTAATCATTCTTTAAGAGAATTTATAGAGAAGAGGAATCTAGAGAAGAATGGGCCTTTTAGCTTGATTCATAATTATAGTTGAGGAAAGCAAACCACAGAGAGGGAAGTGATTGCTCCCAGGTCCTTAGCACAGGTGGCTGGGGACAGCGGTCCCTGATTCCCAGAGTAGGAGCTTGCCACTGTACCATATCCTCTTGTGCTCCTTGGGGCCTCTGCACAGCTGCTCCCTGATGCGGCCTGCTCTCCTCCCTCCATGTATTTGCCTTTCCCTTAAAGGGCAGCTCTGAGGGCTGCTCTGTCCCATAGCTGGTGCCCCCACCCCACTCCTTCTACCAAGTCCCTCTCAGCGCATGGCAAGACACAACACCCACACCATGCCAGCAGAAACCTCAAGCCACTGGCCTCTTGGCAGACCCTCCTCTCTCATCTCAGCCAGCTTCCCACACACCTTGACTGGATGATTTGCAGACCAAGACAGGTTGGTCCCAAATGATACGGAAGAGAAGGATGCCCAAAGGAAGCCTTTCTTTGACCAACCACCCAGAGCTCCAGCCCCAGCTTCCTGTCACAGTTTGGGAACATGTGAAACAAGGCTGCAAGGAGAGGCGTTACTTTGCCAGACTTACCCAAGTTCACCAGCGACTGGAGCCTGCAAATGCCAAGGGGTTTGGGATGCTCTGCGCCTGCCCACCTTTTATACATCTTACATCCCTGCCTGAGGCCATGAGGTGGCCTAGGATTAGGATGTCCTAATTAGTCCCTAATCACAATAGGATCTACCTGTCCTTCCTCAAATTTCAGGTTTTACTCACCCCCTAGGACTGGCAGCCTCCCTCTTGGCATGGCAGCACTTGGGGATGACAGTGGTGCCTTCACTGTGGCTCTGGCCCCACCTCCCCCATCACTTTATGAGGCCTGGCTAGCTTGAATTTCCAAACCCACTCAGGACTTTTGACTTACAACCTTGGCATCCGGGATGGTCCCAAGGTAGCATTCAGGACAATGTTGGGTGTGGGGGGTGTGAGGGCAGTGTTCCAGGATGTTCTGATTGACAGAGGGGAGGGGGTGGACTGGGTGGAGTACACAGACAGCATTGTTTTAAGGGAAACTTAACGACTGAGGGGGTGAATGGTTCTCTGGGAAGCTCATTAAACTCAGTAGAGTGTGACTGCCGAGGAAACCTAGGATCAGAGCCACATTTGGCCTGAACTGGTGGGAAGACAAGGCAAGTGGCTTTGGTTTTTGTGCCTATTGTTATTTAAGCATAAAAAGGGGATGCAGCTTTTTGTCCTGCCTCCTATTGAGAAAATGATTAGGCTTCATTAAGAGAAACTGGGTGGTTACAGTAGACAGTACTTATCTCTGTATCTCTCTACTTATACATAAGTCACCCAGGCTCCAGGGTTCCCAGGGAAATGATTATCATAAGGGGGAGAGGGTGGGGGAACTAAGAAGCATTCAATTAGAATGAGCTCATGGAGGAGTCACCTGGGCTGGTCCTGGATGCTCACCTCTGATGGCCCCAGTCTAAATTCTTCCTCCGCACTCCTGTTAGAGATTCCAAGACAAAGAGGGATGGCACAGGGCACAGACTTGGATGCTCCCCATATCTGACAAAGCATGGGACATATCTCTAAAAAATCTCTGAGTGGTGTTCAGGTTGGGGCTTTCACCTTTCCCAGGTGGGTGGCCTTGGGCACTTAATGTCCTGGGGCCTCAATTTCCTCAACTTCTGAAGAGGACAATAACACCATTCTGCATCTCAGTGGTCAGGGTTAAAGTGGACAACATATGTAAAGGACGTGCATAGTGTTTGGCACAGAATAAGTGATCATCAATTGTTGGGTGCTCCATGTAGCTAGGCTCTGAACACCATGGCAAGGCACACTGTTAGAAGTATGGGAGAGGTAGCTGCAAAATTTGAAGGCAAGTAGTGGCACTTGCCACCCAGTGTCATAAGACCTTGACTGAGAGAAATGGAAATAGGCAAGCTAGTTCTGAAGATGGTATGTTTTAAACCTCAGACGTGGAACTTAGTTGTAGCTCTGCTGAAAGGCTTTCAATATCCCGAGAGCTTGAGAAGTCATGCTGCACAACTAGAAGACACAGGCTTGGAAGACAGTGGTCTCTCTCTCTTTTTTTTAATTGAGGAAGATTAGCCCTGAACTAACATCCGTGCCCATCTCCCTCTACTTTACGTGTGGGACACCTGCCAAAGCATGACTTGATAAGCCATGCGTAGGTCCATGCCCAGGTTCCTCACTGGCAAACCCTGGGCCACGGAAACAGAGCACTGAAGTTAACCACTATGACACCGAGCCACTCCCCAGTGGTCTCTCTCTTAACTCATGGTGCTGCCTCATTGAGATCACAGGCTGTACGTGGGCAAGTAACTAACACAGACCCAGAGGAATCCAGGCCTTTCTGGTGGGAGAATCCCTTTGACCTGGTGTCACTCTGACAGAGGCAACCTCAGATAGCCTTGGAAAAGGATTCAGCTCAGCTAATAGCAGAGAAGAAAGGCCATGAGGGGTAGTTATCCTAAGATAACCAGTTATTTATCGAGAGGTACTACATTCGCATCAGTGCCAGGCACTGTGCTGTGCTGGGGACAGTGGTGAACAAAGACAGCCAGGCTCTTGCTGTTGACAAGGCAACAGGGCAGAGGGTGTGGTTTAGTGTGGCAAGTCTGCGTCTGTGACTGGGCCTGTGTAAGTGGGAAGGGGGAATACAACTGCTTAACGTCCTCCTCCTCCTTCCAACTCTTACAGTTTTTGACTGTCTGACTTGGATTAGCTGAAAAAATCAATCCTAAATATCACTGGAGTGATGCCTGTATAGCTAGAAAAAGTGTGAGCATCAGCTAATTCATGAGTTTTGGATGTTAAATCCTGTCAATCTTTTCTTTCATGTGCCTCAACTACTCAGAACACACTTTTTGTGGTAGAGTCAGCTACTTCAAGAATGCATTGTGCAATATTGCTTCTACTACCAGAGGACAGAAAAGGAACAGATAATCTAGAAGACACCAATAAAACCAAACGCTTATCCTGGACACTTGGAATGGTGTTGTTCACTGGTTTTCATTAGCACTGCTCTCTGTCTTTCTCCTTCTCCAATCTTCTGTCTCTCTTATGCAAACATGCATACACACACACACTCACACGTGCATATATACACATGGGTCTCTGCCACATTCTAGATCCAAGTGTGAGTGGGGCATAAGGACTGTTCCCAGTAAGGTTGATAAGATGGAAGTGATGAGATGAGGTGGTATTTTCCACCAATGTCCAAAACGTGTGGACATACTCACTACCTACCATTGGTCCATATCTAACAGGCATATGACCCCTACTTCCTTTGTATGGCTCCCATACCCTAGGTTCCATATGGTTCTTGAGGACATTTTTTCCCTCTTCTAGTTTTCCATGGTGTTCATCTCACCCTCATTTCACTTGGATGAACATGAACATGATGGTGAGACAGTGAGGATGAGAGGTATGTATTGGAAAAAAGAGGTAGGAGGGGAACCTTACCTCCTAGGATGTCTCTGGCTTACAAATAGACACCAGCTTACTTGGTTTCTAGTTATAGGCACATATTAGCACATTCAGCCTGAGAAGTACCAGGACCTAGCTGGCGAAGGGGCAAGGGGCTGAGCTTTTCAGGGATCCGGTCAGTTATCACATGTATAGGAAGCAGACACCATTCCAAGTAACTCTGGGAGCTGAGGAACTGAGTGACGCACAGGCCCTACCCTCAAGGAGTGTATGATCCTCTTGGGGAGTTAAGGTCAGCCCAGTGTGACAGAGGAACTGGAACTGGAGGCAGACACCATGAGTCAGGACCTGAGGGATGATCTGGTGGCACAGGAGCTCAGAGGAGTGGTCATCACTATGGGATGGGCTCGCGTTGACAGCAATGCATCAGGGGAAACAGGAAAAGCTCCTAGAGTGTGGGCTCCTTCAGGGCAGAAACACTGACTTCATCTTTGTATCCTGTTACCCAGCAAATGTTCCAGCTCGGATTCTGAGCTAAATGTTTGTGAAATGATTGAGAACATTCCAGACAAGGGAAGATAGAGCCCCGAACCAGACAAAACAGTCCCAATTCTTGGTCCAAGGGCTGTGTCACACTCCATGACATTCTCAACAAGCCATGGAGAAATGAGAAATGTTACTATATTTTATAGAGGTTGGTATAAGTTTGCTGACTTTTATTTCTTTGGATGGTCTTATTTTTTGTTTGCTTTTTTGAGACTATACAATTTACAGAGATATTGATTTTAAAACTGCCTTAATTTATTGAAATGATAGTAATTATAAAGGTCCTTTACCTTTCCTTGACAAAATAAAAGATTGTCCCTCTTTACTGATTGCATTGTTTAAAAAAAAAAAAATACTTTTGGTGAAATCCAAAAGCCTGGGTTACTGTTAATGTGGTCCATCCAGTCTTATCGCTAACAGATACGGAAGAGGTGAGGTAGACCTACTTGAGATCACATCTTATCAGTTGTGAGAGAGAGGACTTGAACTCTGGGTATTTGTCTAACAACCAAACCAAACAAACAAACAAATGGAACAGGACTTTGGCTGATGTCAAAATTTCAGCAGGAAATTCTCCTCCCCTCCTGCTTGTCCCCCTACCCCTTCTTAAAGCTAGGCCTTTGCAGTGACGACAGGACCAGGCCTGTATGGCACCCACATCCCACCTCTGTCTTCTCCCAGGCTCTCCAGAGTGCAGTGCAAGACTCTGGCCTGCCCCTCTCCTCGGGGGACACACTATGGCCTGTACTGTGACCTCACTGAGCCAGAATCCATTCTCTCTTGCCTTTATCTGGCCTCTCAGATCAGAGAGGATTAACCCTTCAAATCACTTCTCCCCTTCCTGACTCTTAGGCGGCCCCTAGTTGTGAGAAGTGAGTAGTTCACCTCCAAGTCCCCAACAGCTGGCTCTTCAACTGCCTGCTTTTCTATGCTCAGAACCAGTGGTTTCACTGTCATAATAGGGATGTCCTGGGATTCTTTGCTACCTTAGGGGATGAAGGCTTAACTTCGTTCCGCATGGCCCCAAGATGTGGAATGAGGTCCCAAAAGGTTGAGGTTCCACAGAGATCTGCCTCCAGGCTCCTTGTCTCCCTTAGTGAGCTCATTCACTCCTGTTCTTCTAATTACTACCTTTACACTAATGACTTGTTAATCTGTATTTCCAGCCCAGGCATCTACCTTGTGCTTCAGATCCACAGTACATCAGCTGCCTCCTGAATATCTTCATCTGGATGTTTCAAAGTCACATTGGTCTTAACACGCCTGGAACTATACTTGTCATCCCTCCCCCTGCTCACTCTCCATTTCAGTGAACAGCACCACCACCTACCATATACCACTTACCCACGGCCCCAGTCAGAAACCTGGCCCAACTTCTAACTACATCCACCGTCCACCAAGTCCTATCAATCTATCACCTAGGTATGTGATGTATACCACACATGATGTATGTGATTTCAAGAGGCCCCTACCTTGGTATGGCCTTCATCAACTCTTGCCTTGACTGCTGAAGAGATCCCCTACTCCATTTCACTGTCTGTAGTCTCTCTAGTGAAAACATTTTCTACACAGAAGTCAAAATGATAATTTCGAAAAAATGTAAGAGAATGTCTTGTTTTTAGGAAATATATACTGAAATATTTAGGGCCAAGGGGCAGCATACCTGCAATTTACTCTCAGATATTCAGGAAAAAGAAAACAAAACGTAGATAGATAGATAGAGATACATACATAGAGATACAGATAT